TACCTGCCACGACCACAACTACCACAGCAATACTTCCAGGGGTAAGAAACATTGCCGCTGTGTATTATAACATAATTTTATATTTGCTTGTTTTCCGATATACGATTCTGTTTTCTTGCTTACTCTTTTCTTCTTCATTCCACGGATGTGACCCTTTGATTCTCTGGTGCTCTAGATGAAGTAATATTGAAAGTAGTCCAGTTTTGAGCGCGAGAGCTAACCAAGATCCTAGGTAGTCCGCTATTTGTTTGGTTAGAGTTGCAAGCATCATATTATTTCTATCGCTGAAAAGAAAGTCTCAAGAATTCCCCAAAAACGAATTTTTCCATGGATACTAAGCCAGAGCTATAGCTTGGTTTAATAGTAGTAGAAACGTAGTAGTAGCTGGTCGAACAAAAAGTCCCTTCCATTATGAACTGATTTAGACTACAACGGAGGTGTCATGTTCATTGTCAACTTGGGCCGAATGGAGAGAATGGTCGGATTGTTCTGACACTTGCGGTTCCTGTGGCACTAGACAGAGGTTCAGAGCCTGCAACAAGTCAAGGCCAGATTGTCTATGTGAAGGGTAAGCTGCTGTTTTATCTGCTTTTGTTCAATCAAGTTATGAACTGTAAACCCATCAGATACCTAGTTAGGCTATTATTTTTCCGTTCCCTATTGAACGCTCTGCCATTTTGCTTCCCTATATTTTTGCTGAGTTCCTGGTTCCTGCAAGTTCTGGCGCTTTTTCGGACCTTTTTTCAAGCCGTATTTACAACGTATCAAGACATACTTCGCTGGAAGCACTATTTAGATAGGTACTGGCACAAACTGAGCATGTAATGTACCCTCCTGGCTGCTAGTACTATGCCCACAACCTACTCCGCTCAACAATATTAGCTACCAGTTCAATATTTTCAGGACTGCCTATGAGAAGGAGGTCTGTAATCGAGCTGTATGTAAATATCCTCGTCCGACAGCGTGTTGTGCTGGCTATACAGCGGCGTCGTACCAAGGTCAATTCTACTGCATGAGCACCGCTGCAAGGCCCGTCATAGTGTGAAGAATCTATTGAAGCCTCGTGATCAATAAAACTAAGTTGAATCTGCAAATGCCATTACAGAATAACTACGCTATTTATTTGATTCGATATAAATTTTTATTTAAATGATGTGAATCGAAGAATTCAAATTAATCTGGAGGTGAGGTTGAAAAGCAGTCGTGAGTCACATCGGGTCACACATCTCCTCGCGGCGCCCCGCCCCCCCCCTGGCGCGCTGCGCGGGGGCACCCCCCTCCTCACGGGACATCGTGGTCGTACGTGCTTAGGTTTAAGCTTCCCCTGTAATGTAAAACTAGACGACGAGACGATATTCAGGAGAAACGAGTGAGTTGGTGATCGACTGCAAATTTGGTGAGCGCGATAGTGGTATGCGTGTGCGTGGTGCACTATGTGTGTGTGATGGCATCTATTACATTTAATGTGTTAAGCGCTGTTTAGTTAATAGCAAAGTAACACGTCAATGACTAAGAACGTAAGGATTGGTGTGGGTTAAGCGAATGAATATTGAGCCATCCGAATCGTGTTTAAAGGACGAATTCACGATGAAAAAGCAACCCATTTCAAATCAACTCAGCGATGGTGAGTGGTACACGAAAGAAGGAAACCATGAGAAACGGCCCAGAAGAAATGGGACCCCTTCCTTGCCCGTTGATTCGAGCATTGATGCGACTCTCATCGCTGTGCCCTCTTCAACACTACGCTCTCTCAGCTATCTAATCACTCGCCACGTATTGAACTACGGCGAGTGATCAGATGATCGGTGGGCGGAGATCGCCAGACCCGCCAGCTTTGAGGCATGATAGGTCGCCGAGGTCAAATTTTTCCATGCGAATTGCGCGTCAGTTCGCACCCTCAGGAGGTCCGTGGGTCCCTCAACTAGGTCAGTTTCCCTTTCTTCGACCTTCATCTCTTAATATTGCGTGGCTGCAATGGCCATTGACTGATACTATTGAATGTAACTGAAGGTCTGCCGTGATTTGACAAATCACGTGAGTTGACCCGATTCGAACTGCATGGTTGTAATAACCACAACCCATCACCTTGCAAGCTCAGTTTGATAGGTGGATGGTAAACTCTCAAGCTGATACCAACGTTAAATTTGTGATCTCATCCTCGAAGCAACTTTGCTCAGAACGATGGATAGATTTGAGCAGTGGACCTTGATTTTTTCCGAATTTTGTAGATTGTAGGAGAAAGTGGGGGAGGGTTATTCTTTGTCGCAATAAACACTTATAATTGTCAAAATCGAGCTATCCCTCAGCCTCATTTGTGTAGGATTTTCTTCAAGAGTGCTGAGGACTCATTCATGTAGCTTTATTGGCAAGCCTTAGCACGAAAGCACTAATCAGACTGTTGACAGTAAGCCGCTAAATTCTGGAATACAATAAATACAGGGGTGGCCAAAAAAGGGACACTTCACTCCACATTTCAGACAGCATTAATCACACTTTGCTAACTCAAATCGACTGCTCCAACTTAGTATTGAAGAGCACATCCCAATCTATCAATAAACATTATAATAGCTTTCTGCACCAAGGACATCACAAGAATTTGCCATGGGAACCTTGTGCACGGTTCGAGCTCAACGTGGTCCTTGACGGATTATGGACCATTGCGACGTTATCGAAAGGCTAGTCGGAAGGGGTATTGCACACTCAGAAAGAATCTATCAGTAATCCGATTGAAGAAATCCCATAGCAGCTTCAGGCTGGAGCGATTACCATAGGCCTTCTTGAGCTAAACGGTGATGGAAGATGACGTCATATTTTGAAGACGGTGAGGGCAGTGGAAGAGGGCCTGCTTCTACTTATAGGAAATCTTAGGGATATTTCGCCGTAAAACTTTCATTAACATCGGCACCCTGTGCGACGAAAAGTTCGATGATGTGCGCCATGGGCAAAGTGTCTCTTTTTTTGGCCACCCCTGTATAAAGAAGTAATGCAACTGTTAAAGACACAACTCATCAAGGACATGGGATTACCCCGACACCACTCCCAAGCAATTAAAAGTTACCATGAATGCGATGCGCGTGACTAATTTGAGGAATTCTGTATCGCTACCGCTAAGATATCAATTTCGATGCTCATGGCTGTTGTGCATTTCGAGGGTTGGGCGCTCAATAGTAAGAGCTTCAATAGTTTCTTCTAAGGCTGCTTTCATAGTTCGCATCGGTGCGGTCGGTGCCGACGGTGCCGACGGCGCCGACCGCACCGACAGTGTGAAGAGCGTCAATACGCGCTCTGGCGCATGACGCGTACGTTGGGCGCAGATGGCGCGCTCCGATCGATAATCTTGGGTTTGGTGTACTTCTTGTCTTCAGTCTTCCTTTTATAAGTGTGTTTTCTGTTGATACTTATTTTTTATGTCTTCATGAGTACTTTTCAGTTGTTCCGCGGACGAGCGACGTCGTATAACCCCGTGTGAAGTGGCTTCAAGACCCAGTGATTTCATCATGAGCAATTCTGTTTATTCGAGTGAACTGTATGTTTCCAGTAGTTGCTTTCTCTTCGATACAATTTCCTGCTGGTGTGCGAATAATTAAATTACCAAGATCCGGCGGCCTTTCGCACACCAGCAGGAAATCGTATCGAAGAAAAAGCAACTTCTAAATTTATAGAGTCCACTCGAATAAACAAAATTGCTTATGATGAACTCACCCAGTATAGCCACTCGGGGTAGTACGACGGGGTTCAACGAAGTCGTCGAACAGATACGAACGAAGTAAGAACAGCATGAAAGTATTAATCAAGACATTAAAGAAAAGTATGAACAGAAAACACACGAATAAAAGCAACACGGCGCGAAAAAAACATCGAAAAGCACAAGAAATACACAAAAACCAAGATTATCGATCGGAGCCCCCATCTGCGCCAGCGCACGCGTCATGCGCCAGAGCGCGTATTGACGCTCTTCACACTGTCGGTGCGGTCGGCGCCGTCGGCACCGTCGGCACCGACCGCACCGATGCGAACTATGAAAGCAGCCTAATGGAGACATCCATAGTTCGCGACGGTGTCAATATGGAACTTTCAGGGCGGGGGGGTGCGGGGCTGCTCTCTGTGCGGTGATGTCAGTACGATCGCGAGAACGCACTTCCATGGGATAAGAAGGATGGATTCGCAGAGTCAGATGTACGTTCTCTGCGCTTGTGTGGCGAACGTTTCGTCCCACCAATGTAGTTCTGACCGCATTCGATAGTGAAAAAATTTACTGCTCCACGTAGCTGACAGATGTTATGATCGACGCAGTACGTACAGTTGGTCTGGCCACAATTCACAAATCCGTGATGATGTCAGCAAGCTTTTTTGAATTTATGTTTTGAGATTTCAAATATAGGATGTAGTATGTTTTCGAATCGAATTATCTGCTTGAACGTGTTTTTCAATTCAGTGGATTTTAGCCTTTCCGTAGCCTGATTTGTTGTTTTCTTAGACATCAGAATGCAGCGAATGCTCTTGTAAATAAATACAGTTCGATGTAGTGGCTGAAGTATACGTATAGTATAGTATATAAATATGCGGGAAGCCCTACTTCAAGGGGACGACCTTCAACTCAAATTTGGGTTTAGAAAATTTAGATTTTTCGAAATTAATGAAGGCAGGTGAAAGATCACTTGATCCGTTTATTTGATTTAAATAATGTATAACCCAACAGAACAGTCAAGTAAACAGTCACTAACATTAAGCAAGTCTAGCACATTGCCCAGAACTCTCTAAAGTATTGGAATACATAAACTAGGATTTGAATGATCGAAGCTAACCTACATTAAACTCACTCTATGGGTTAGGGAATCTCTTTCGTGGCTCTTTCATTGACATACGAATTTGTAGGTCCTCCCCTAGTGGTTCTGTAATGTTTGGCTCAAGAGTCTGGCCTGGCTGGTCTTTTAAAAGCACCCCATGCTGTCGAAACCACTCCTGCATGTGAGAGGCCCGATGCTTTGAGTCGCTGCTCTGCCGACAGGCAAAGTCAGGTCGGGCGGCAGCCACGCCTAAGGATACATGACACCTTCCAAAACATGACAGCAAACGTCTGCCTTCATCGCTACCTCAGTCGTGTAGCGTGGTCCCACTTTTTTCCAAGGCAACCTTATCAAGCCTCCGCCAAGTTTCACAATTGGCAGCTGATTCTTTGGATCAAAACGTTCCCTCTCGTGGTGCCGTACATTACTAGTATCCTTGCTGTCATGCATCAGTAATATGTTTTTGTCATTCAGATGACTTACCAGGAAGGTCTTTCAGGACATGGAGCCCTTTTTGAAAACGGTTTTTTGCATGATAAAGGGGCACATGCATGGAGTACAAAACTAGGCTCCATTTTTTCTGAGCGGCCCTCCTAATGCCAAAAAAGGTATGAAAAATCGGTCGAGGGATCGGTCCCGGCTGATGACAAAATTTTGCATTTCATGTTAGCGCATGTTAAATGACTCCAAATGTTACCGCCATAACTCAACCTTTCTGATTAGCTTTCTGCCCAGAATTTGGGCGAAAATTGTATGGCGCTAAAGCGGCGCCGAGTTGGTGCCCGAGGAGGCTAAAATGGCGCAATATCGCGCCTCCATCAAAAATGGACGTCAGATTCGTAATCAGCGCCTATAATTACCCTTATAGCCGCAGTTTTTTAGAGAAGATCAAGATTTCGGCCCGAATTCAAAAATTGGGCCATGGGTTAGCCCATAGTCAGTACGGCATGCACGCTTCCCACTTGGAGACAGCTTCGAGATGATAGCAAGCGGCACGTTTGGTTGATAGTTACACTTCCCGCAGTTCCTGCCCATGGAGGCAATCCGGCATCACCCCTTGATCTCGTCGATGCATGGCGTATGCCTGGGTGGGCACTGGCATACGTCGACGAGCATCCTGGACGTTCCTCAACGCCGGCATCTGCCTTCAAGGGAAATGGAGTAGGTGTTCCTTGCGAAGAAAATGACAACTTCACTTTTCTGGCGTTCGTTAGATGCAGTTGGTGTGATCCGCGCCTGTGATTCAGATGCTTCATTG